GGTAGAATGCCGGTAGGTCGATAGCCTCACTGAGGCTGGACCGGTACTTTTGTACCGGTGGGCAGAGGTCGGCCTCTATGCTGCGAGGCCTGACCATGCCCTAAACCGTACAGATGGACGGTTCAGCCCCAACCGGCGGGCGACAGCCTCAAGAGCGTCGCCAGGCCCAAACGGTAATATCGCTTGGGCCGGCCCGTCGGGTCTGGTCCAAGGTAAGGCCTTTACGGCCTGTAGTACCCCCCAAGGTCGGGCCTTTGGCCCTACTGTGTCCCTCTACCCCTACGTCGAGTCCGGTAGGACCCGTGTGGCGTCGAAGATGTAACATCCTGTCTAGCCTATCTACAATGCCGCTGGTGACGTCAACAGCTCCCCGAAGTACGAGCAGACCTCGGCCAACGCCATTCGCCTCAAGCACCAGGTATGTCTCTCGCATCACTCACAACCTCCATCCCCCACACAGATGCCACGTGCACCCAAGGACCACCATGCGCCCCATCCAGCACCTCGGAGGCCAGCTCGGCTATGGCTGCCTGCGCATCCCTTCCTCGCTCGTGAGCGTGTGGGCGCTTGGCTGCCTGTAAAGCAGCAGCGCTTGTGCAGCATGTAGCAAGTGCCCGAATGCCAAATGGGGGGGCAGGGACTTTCCTATATGGAAGTGGCCTGCCCGCTGCGTGCGGCCTGGCTGCGCTGGGCCCCGGCCCAAAAGCTTCCGGTAGGCACCAAGTGGCTGAGCCCCCGTCCAGGGAATCAGGCCCAGGGCCTAGAGTGGTTACCCATGTTCAACTGCCCACAGCATGTGTTCGGCCCATGTTGTGTCTCTGGCCCAGGGCCTGCCTCAGATACATCAGAAAAAGGCAGCCAGGGCCTGGGGCGCTTTCAACCAACTGGCGCTGCGCAACTGCCTGAATTTTCCCAGTTGCGTGGTAGTCCAAAATAGGCCTCTGGTCGTTGGTCGGGCCTGCCTTCACTTAGGGCGGCCGACATTGCTGGAAACAGGGCCCAGTAGGGCTTGTCGAGGCCTTGTGCCTCGCATTCCCTCCTCCATACTTCGAGAGTCCTCTGAGAGTTTACATCGTTCAATCTGGCGCTTTCCTTTCTGCAAAGACTTCTCATGTTGGGTGACAACCTGCGGAGCGCTCTGCATCATTTCCTCCCTTGTAAACCATCGGTCCTCCCTTGGATCAGGTTGATCTCTGAACCGAACGTGATACTGCAGTTTTGGCTTCAGAGGACGTCCCCTTCCTGTTGGTCTTGGAACTGGCAGTTCTCTGTGACCCACGATGTCGTCGATTTCGACCTCTCCATCCATGGTTGGGGGCAGCATTGAGCGACGAGAGGGAAACTGATCAGTTTCTCTGGAAGGTGCGAGCTTGGAGGCGTGAAAGACAGGGTAAGTGCGAAGGTGACCAGGGATCTGGATTACATATGACGGACCGTCCGATAATACCCAACAACATCTAGAACCTCCCAGGGTCCAAAGTACTGTGGCATGAGCTTGCAGGAGATACCGTACTCCTGCCCTAGTTTAGAGGACTTAACCCAAACTCTATCTCCTACCTGAAATGTCGATGGACGACGGTGTTTGTTCTCAGATTCTATCATTACGGCTTGTGCTTTGTGCATCTGTTCCACCACTTGCTGCATCAACTGCTCATTACGGTAGGCGAGTTCTAATGTGCCAGGTGCAACGGTCGGCTGGTTCTCAGGTAGTAGAAAGTCTAGGGGCAGTCTAGGCTTGAAGGTCAGTAGCAGGCTGTTAGGGCTCACCTCGGTTGCACTGTGCACACCGTAGGTGTTGTACAGCGCGGTTCAGCTGCTCTGCTTGCCCATTTGCCTCTGGGTGGTTCCGGGAGGTCATCTGCAGCTGTGTCCCCTATTCTGCAGCTGCGGCCTTCCAGAGTTCACTGGTAAATTGTACATCCCGGTCGCTAACTATGGACTTTGGCAATCCAAAATCCCTGACCTAGTTTTCTTTGAACAACTTAATCACATACTCGGTTTTGGCTGTTGCAGGCATTGCGATTAACCTAGCATACGTACTAAACCTATCCACAATGACATTGACATATCGCATTCCGCTCTTGCTATTGACCAGCGTGTCCATGAAATCCATGGACAGGCTCTCACCCGGCCTTTCCGGAATCGGAAGGAGCTTGAGAAGCCCACGAGGGGCTTGTGTACGTGGCTTGTCTCTTTGGCATACTTTGTCTCCACGTACAGCTTGGCATCTCTCATCATTGTGGGCCACCAAAACTGCTGCAACAAGTTGGCTGCAGTCTTTTTGTGACCAAAATGTCATGTGGCGTCGTGACACTCTCCTAAAAATAAACTACGCAAAGACTCCCGATTAGGCACACACAAACGTTTATTCCCGGCCTTCGTAAGGAACAGCAGGGCATTGACCAACTCAAACTCCGCAGAAGTCACTTTGTCCTTTGCCTCGAGTTTACGTTTGATCTCAGCCACAAACGGATCCTCGCGATAGGCTTTCACCAAAGATCGAGTGACATCGTCCGCAAGCCCGAACTCAGTGATCAGCGCACCAAGGAAGTTCGGCCTACGCGACAGCGCATCAACAACTCTGTTATACTCCCCCTTGATGTACCGGGGTTCAGAGTCATTCGGCTCAATGACTTGATCCAGCGTTTCGCCGCATCGAAGAGCACTGGCTGGATTCTCATCCACTTCAGGGTCTGATGATCAGTCCTGATGTAGAAGAACCTCCCAAGGAGGTAGTGCCTTCGGTGCGTTAGTGCTTTATAGATCGCATAGAGTTCCTTCTCATAGGTGGACTTAGCCAACTTTTGAGAGGGCATTTTTTTGGACATGTACTCGACTGGCCTTAACTTTGGCCCCTCCTGCTGTGAAAGCACGGCACCAATTCCATATTGGCCGGCATCGATGGTTACTATGAATGGCTTGTTAGGATCAGGAAGTTTCAAGACCTCATGGTATGTTAAGGAATGCTTCAGATGTCTGAAAGCAGCCTCACACCTGTCTGTCCACTCTTAAGGGGTGTCAAGGCGTGTCAGGTCCATCAAAGGTGCGGCCATTGTGCTATAGTTCTTCACAAAATTGCGGTAGTAGCCGGTCATCCCTAAGAAAGACCTCATCACAATTAGAGACCGAGGACGCGACCAGTCACGGATGCTGGCCACCTTCGCGTCATCGGGCTTCAATCCCTCTGCGGAAATCTCATGCCCCAGATACAAGATCTGGGTGCGGCCAAACTCGCTCTTCTCCCGGTTGATCTTGAACTGGTACTGCCGAAGGAGGCTAAGGACTTTGTCTACATGGCCAACATCCTCGACAGTCCTACTAAAGATAAGTATGGCATTGAGGTACATGATGACAAACTTGTCCATGTAGTCATGAAGGATCCGATTCATGGCGTGCTGAGAGGTGCCAGGAGCATTGCAAAGGCCGAAAGGCATCACCACAAACTCGTACAGACCGTACCTGGTCTGAAAAGCGGTTTTGTGTTGATCCTCGGGCCGTATTGCAATCTGATGGTACCCGGACTTCAGATCTATCTTACTGAAGTACCGACACCCTTGCACTCGGTCCAACAAATCAGCGATGCGCGGTAGGGGCTCTACGTTTTTCACAGTGATGGCATTGAGGCCCCTATAGTCAATGCACATCCTCAAGGTCCCCCCCTTCTTTGGCACGAATAAGACAGGAGATCCGTAAGGGGAGACACTCGGCCGGATCCAACCCTTCTTTATGATTTCCTTGAGTTGTCGGCGAAGCTCATGGAGCCCAACTGGAGACATCCGATAGATCCTACCCTTTGGAATACTAGACCCTGGGATAACCTCTATCGCATGGACGACCTCCCTCTCAACAACCCCTTTCGGCTCTTCAAATAGATCAGGGTACCTAGCGACCACTCCCTCTATCTCTGGAGACATTTTCATCGGCTCGCCCTTTGCAGAGATATATACTACTTTGCAGAGATATATACTAAGTACATACCCTCCTGCGGATTTTGCTTATAATAATTATAGAATGCGGTCGCACACATCCGTAGGACTCAATCAGACTAGTAGCTTTGAACTTACGTAATCCTGGTGGTCCCCCCTCCGGACAAAGTGTGTTTGACCATTTTTCGGTCCCAATCAAACTGGGGATGTGCGACTGCGAGATAGTACATACCCAGCAAGATATCCATGGGGAGATCATCGCTGGCTAGGAATGAGACTCGATGTCTCAGTTCCCCTCCCGTGTACGGGAAATGACACTCATCGTTTTTAAGGTAGTCGTTGACTACCATGCGCTGTTTGCTGGCACAGGTCGACTCAGGCGCTGCACTTGCCCCTGTAAGCGCAACCGCTCAACGCACGCGAGATTGATAAAGTTCCTCATCAAGCAAGTGTCATAAAAGGCCCCTGCCTTGCAGCCGCCTATATCTACCTCGCCGACGAACAACTCACCCTTAGGAGCTTTAGCCATGGCCGTCCAAGAAGCTAGCGGGTCTGATCTAGACCACTCCTCTAGCTCCTCTAAGGACTCAAACACATTCAACGAACAAAGGATCGATTGGTCTGAATGTGTTTGCGGGACGACAACGGAGTCAGTAGCTTGGGCCATCTCTCGAGATGGTGAGGGTGTGTCCATCACCTCGACCCTTGCAGGAACAGGTATTATTCCTACTGGCCCGACGTGTTTCCTGGAGTAGTGCCAGAATTGCTGGCGAGATTGCTACCTGGGGAAGCGGAGGAGACCGACGCATGCCCCATCAGAGGCGGGATTTTTTCCGTCACCTTCTTATTCCGACGCTTGGATTGGTTATGGCCATATTGGCCACAACGGATCCAAGCCTGCCGGTTGTAACGGTCTCTCCACACGTCCTCAGTAAGACGCGCTTTTTCCCATGGAGGAGCATTGGGGTCTACTTGACTCCTAGACCTGGAGCCTCCGCGGCGTCTACCGGTCGCCTTACCTTTTTGTTGCACAGAGGCAGCAACTGCTCCACCCCCTAAAGCTTCTGCGCTGCCTGCCTCGGACCCTACTCCCTTCTGGAAGTCGTTGTCTAACTCTATGGTTGAACCATCATTATCGATAAACATGATGCGACCCTTCGCCTTCCAGTTGGGAGGCAGTGCCTTTTTCCTACCATCCGCCGCGGGTTGGTGCCCATGTCCTATCTTTGCCTCTACGGCTAGGGCCTTCTTGCTAAACGAGGGAAAGTTGTGTACTGTGATTTGAGCCTTGCCTGCCATCCGATTCCTGAGTTCTATGGGAAGACATCTTAGGTCAATTGTAAGCAAGACTTGGGGGTCATAACGTACTCCAGGAACACAGATCAGATGCTCAACAATGTTTGTGGCATCCCTTACTGTTCTGAACTTTCTAGAGCTCAGGGTCAGGATCTCATCAGTGGCCTTTTGGGCTTCCTGCGGATCATGCCACCTTTCCTCCACCAATTTGAGGAAGTCATCCAATTTTTGGTTGACCGCCTAAGAGCGGAAGTCATGACGGTACCCTTGTAGTTGCACTCACCTGCTCAACCATTTCGCTGCACTCCCCTCCAGGTAGGAGGCAGCCACAAGCACTTCGTCGTGCAGCAAGGTCAACTTGCACTTCAAGTAGACTAGCACTGACCCCAACCATGTGTCAAGGTCTTCGCCCCTCTTATCCCTTGAGAAGGGTTTAGGCGAAGCAAATAGCAGTCTTAGGAACCGACTGGCCTTGTCCCCGTACCCGCACCACTCCAGGTTGTCGACCATGTCGTGCAGGCAGCTGCACTAGCTGCTGTGGGGGTTGTGTGCCCTGTGGCTGTGCCGGCTGCGAGACTGCAGGCTGCCCAGTTACGACAATATGCAACGAGGTTGGCATAACACTGCCTGGACATGAATCTGTACACTAGGACCTGTTGCTAACCCGCCTGTCAAAGGCATACCTAATAGGGAAGCGGCCTGCACCGAAGCTGGAGATACAGTGAAAACTCCAATCACTGGTGGGACAAAAGGAGGAGGCCGTACCACGGGCCAGGCACCGAGCCCTGATGGTGATGGTGCTACCTGAACTCGCCTGACCAACACGGCCAGGCTCTGCTGAATGTCCTGCAAGAGCGACGTGTGGTAGCCTTGCATCTCTACTACACCTAACAGGACTGTCCTCACGGTCCTCACATCATCCTCCACATTGGTCAGGTCCATCTCTTCTAACTCTCTAATGTCCGCTTGTTGCCGCTGCATCCTAGACCTTCTTCTGATCATTCTCTCTTTCTCTGTCTGTATGTCATCTAATGCCTTCTGCAGCTGTACCTCTTGAGCACTCGCTCTTTGTATGGCGACCTCCTCGAGAGTTAACACCAACTGCTGGCTTGCCATGACGCCAGCGGAATGACTCAGGGTCTGTGCGACCGTCGCCCTTATGGTTCCTAAACTAATGGCCTGGGAACTTTGTTGCGCAGCAGTGGCCATGGCTGCTGAAGTAGCGGCCTCGCTTGCATAGGCGCAGCTTGCCTCAGCGGCCCTAGCTCTCCGCTATTGCTGCTGCCTCTCCCTAAGCTGGCATAACAGAAACCTGTCACCCTCAGGTCCTAATGCCACGTGGGACAACGGGCGTCTTGCCGATCGCAGGATCCTATCGTCCAAGTCAAATGTCCTCCCTGTCGCTCAAATGCGACAGTACTGCGCACTGTCTGCACTAGGGTACACTCGTTTGCCTACCGCAGAGTAGTGTTCAGATCGATTTAACATAATAAAAATAAATAATCGATGGCATTGTCAGATAATACACAGTTGGGTTCAACAGGTAAGTCCAGAGTCCTACAAACGAAACTATTCTACTTGACTAGTCCGCAAACAAAAAACAAATGTGTAGAAAACAGTTCTACCTATGCTGTCTGTCAGATGTTAATGGTTGTACATCTAACTAGTCAAAATAAAAATATAATCATTTGATTGGCTGTTGTCAGAGTGGAATTGTCCTCGAACTTTTCACCTGAAATCTACCCCTCCCTCAATTCTTCTTGAGTGTCACTTGACGTCAGTGTCCCTGAGCAATCCAGATAGCGTGTGTGTCTAAAGTTGTGCACACGGCCCACCCCTGTGGCCCGAGTCAATGCTGAGCTGGCCAGCCCTGCACCATGTTTACCCTCTCGTGCAGCGAGCCTTACACCGACCGATTGGTTGATCAAGAGGTGTTTAAGGACAGCCCCCAAAGTCCTGAGGAATTATTTAACGACACAGACAGGACGACGATCACAGCCAATGGAAGGTAACCCCGCTGGTACTTATTTATAGATGCCCGGTACTCGTCTCCCCGGTAGGGCTGGCCTGCCCCTCATAACCCATCTACAGCGCAGCAGGCAAACAAAGGACAAAGCAGCAAAGCATGTGCGCTCTACTCCCGGTGGGTTGGCATGGTGACCGTGACCCAGTGCTTCGCCCAGGGCCCTTCAGATAGCTTCGCCCTCTCCTTCCAGATGCTCCATGTGAACAATGCCGACTCTCAAGGTTGAGCGCACTCGACTCCTCACATGAGAGGACTCTTAAGACGGAACACAACCTCACGGTAAGAAGTGTCGAAGAGGGTAGATAAGGTCACAAGCAACGTACCTCAAAATAGCTGCCCCCAACCGCAAATATTCTCACCAGATGACCTGACTGTCAATTGTGATGGCCAATCATTGCTTCTGCACAACCAGCATTACACCGCCGTTCCACCTCAGCATCAATCGCACATCAGATAGTTCTCATCACACTGTGAACACCCAGATACCACTTCGTAGCCTTCCTGGTGATACCCCTTTCCACCTGGGTCGCCTGCTTGCCTTCGCCGTCCTCACTACACACTCCCTACGGCCGCTCACCCAGCAGACCGCATGCATGTACCGCATAGGCAGAAGACAAGCGCCAGATTAGCGCAACGTACCACAACTCCGATACCAAAATGCAAGGAAAATGAGCGATAGCGAACTCCAGAAACCAAGCAGCATCATACACACGAAACCAGATAGCCGTGACCTCGAGTTCCACCAAATAAGAGCACAGCAAAAGCTTACAAGTGACAATGTTGGAATAGTCTCATCATCATCAACAAAGAACCAATGTCGATTTCCTATCTGGCGCTCTGCCCCCAAACTACAAATGGCAGATCCTATCTAGCCTATCTACAATGCCGCTGGTGCCGTCAACAGCTCCCGGAAGTACGAGTAGATCTCGGCCAATGTCGTTCGCCTCAAGCACCAGGTATGTCTCTCGCATCCCTCACAACCTCGATCCCCCACATAGATGCCACGTGCACTAGAGGACCACCATGCGCCCCATCCAGCACCTCGCAGGCCAGCTCGGCTATGGCTGCCTGCGCATCCCTTCCCCACCCGTGAGCCCGTGGGTGCTTGGCTGCCTGTAGCGCAGCAGCGCTTGCGCATCATGTAGAAAGCGCTCGAATGCGAAATGTGGTGGCAGGCACTTTCCTACATGGAAGTGGCCTGCCCGCTGCGTGCGGCCTGGCCTGTGTTCGGCCCATGTTGTGTCTCTCGCCCAGGGCCTGCCTCAGATACATTTGAAAAAGGCAGCCAGGGCCTGGGGCGCTTTCAACCAACTGGCGCTGAGCAACTCCCTGAATTTTCCCAGTTGCGTGGTAGTCGAAAATAGGCCTCTCGTCCTTGGTCGGGCCTGCCTTCACTTAGGGCGGCCGACGTCAGGGCCCAGTAGGGCTCTTCGGGGCCTTGTGCCTCGCAGCTGTGTCTTCTTCATAAATATCGTTGACGTGCATCGACTCACATTGGAGAGAGAGACACGAGATTGCTCCTTGGCACCATTTGCCCCCCTTCTCGTCCACAAACCAGACAACCTACTATACAGGACTTTCGGTTGTCTTCAGCCAAGGGTTGGAGTACTGGTCAATGCAGAAGGAACAAAAGTGTGTATCCACGTTCGATTGGACAATGGTGTCATATTCGTTGGCGATATATATAAATATATACATACAGGGTAGTCACCCCGATGGTCGGCTGCCGACCAGCCGACGGTAGGCGCCGTTGGCGCCGACTGGTCGGCGACCAGTAGGCACCCTGCAAAAAACGATTTTTTTTTTTTTTTTTTTTGGTCCAGAAGGGACCAGAACCCCAAATAACCCCATCCACACCCCCATAGCCCCCCCCAACAGACCCACACACCCCCCCAACACCCCCGTACCGCCCCCTAACACCCTCATACCCCCCCCTTAACCCCCTATAATGATAGTATAATCATAAAAAAAGATAAAAAAAATTTAGGCAGTCTGCCGACCGTCGACGGGTCCGCCTACGGGTCAACCCGACTGATAGGCGTGCCTACCGCCTACAGTAGGGATAGGCCATAGGCACCAAAACAACCCTGTATATATATATATATATATATATTTCAATGTAAGGAAAAAAAGGTAGAGGGAGATGGGGTGTGAACCGACAGTCTGTAGAGTTTGCCATCTGGTGTGGGTGAGTGATAGTCTGCTTTGATTTTCGTCACAGGTACCTTGAGGGCGGTGGTTGGTGCCCATCTCAGGGTATCAGTTGCTGGGCAGTCGTTTATGCTTAACCACAACTAGGGTTAAGGTGGATTATCACTTACAGTGCCATCAGCTAGGTGATTCTGCAGACCGTTGAGGGTTCAGCCTCTCGTTTCTTGTCCTCTTCTCCCTCTCTGCCTACTGTTTCCCGGGAAGCTCTGTTTGTCGATAACTTCATCAACGTGGCGAGTCTTGTACGTTAGAGGCATGGCTGACGAGGCGTTAAGAAGACCGAGAAATTGAATGATTTCAATGTGTCTTTGTTTTTTATTTTTATCCTTTGTTCAGTGTATTTTTTTTTTATAAAACACTGAAAGAAAAAAGAATACACTTCAATACAGTGAAACAAAGAATAAGAGGAGGACACTGTTTTGTGTCATTCTAGTTTGTCTGTCTCTTTGCCTGTCTGTCCTTTCATTTTTCTTTTCTTCACTCATCTTATTTCTTCTTGTACTTCACGTTGCAAGGAAAATAAGAGATCGTGAACTTCAGAAATCAAACAACATCATACACATGAGACCAAATAGTTGTGACCTCGAACCAATAGCAGAATTGCATCACGAGTTCCACCAAATAAGAGCACAGCAAAAGCTCATAAATGACAATGCTAGAATAGTCTCATCATCTTCAACGAAGAACCAATGTCGATATCCTATCTGGCGCTCGACGCCCAGACTACAGATGGCAGATCCTATCTAGCCCATCTACAATGTCATTGATGACGTTGACAGCTCCCCGAAGTACGAGCCGATCTTGGCCAATTCCGTACGCTTCAAGCACCAGGTATGTCTCTCGTATCTCTCATAACCTCGTTCCCCAACTCACAGATGCCACATGCACCTAAGGACCACCATGCGCATCCAGCATACAGCAGCGCAGCTCGGCTATGGCTGCCTGCTCCTTCCAGCTCGCCCGTGAGCGCTGGCCAGCATTAGTGCAGCAGCGCCTATCTTGCCTATCTACAATGGATGTCAACAGCTCCCCGAAGTACGAGCCGATCTCGGCCAATGCCGTACGGTTCAAGCACCGGGTATGTCTCTCATATCACTCATAACCTCGTTCCCCAACTCACAGATGCGACATGCACCCAAGGACCACCATTCGCCTCATCCAGCATACAGCAGCGCAGCTCGGCTATGGCTGCCTGCTCCTTCCAGCTCGCCCGTGAGCGAGCGCTGGCCAGTGTTAGTGCAGCAGCACTTGCGCGGCATGCAGCCAGTGCCCGAATGCCAAATGCGTGGGCAGGCACTTTCCTAAATGGAAGTGGCCTGCCTGCTTGCATGCAGCTTGACTGTGTCGGGGCCCTGCCCAAAAGCTTCCGGTAGGCCCAGACAGGCTGAGCCCCAGTCCAAACAATTCAGGCCCTGGACCTGTGGTGGTTTTGCCTGTATCCAACTGCCCGTGGCCTGTGTTCGATCTATGTTGCAAATCTGGCCCAGGGCCTGCCTCAGTTACATTGATAAGAGGCGGCCTGGGCCTGGGCGATCTCAACCAACTGGCAATGCGCAACTGCTTGAATTTCCCCAGTTGCGTGGTGACCCCAAAAATGGTCTGTAGGCCTCGGTCGAGCCTGCCTTCACTTAGGGCGGCCGACTGTGCTGAAAATAGGGCCCAGTAGGGCGTATCGAGGCCTTGTGCCTCGCATTCCCTCCTCCATACTTCGCTAGTCCTCTGAGAAGTTTAGTCTTCAATAATCTGGCGCTTTCCCTTCTGTAGAGACTTTTCATATTGGGTCACAGCCTGAGGGGCGGTCTGCATCAGTTCCTCCTTGGCAAACCATCGATCCTCCTTTGGATCAGTATGATGTTTGAACTGAACCCGGTACTGTAGCTTTGGTTTCGGAGGACGTCCCCTGCCTGTTTCCTTGTGGTCAACGATGTTGTCGATGTCGACCTCTCCAACCATGGATGGGGGAAGCATTGAGCGACGAGAGCATGGTATGGGACATGGAAATGTGCCGAGGCGGAGGAGGAAGACGGCACCATCGCGCCCCGAGGATGCCACAAGACGAGCATGGTTGGGGGCAGCATTGAGCGACGAGAGGTCAACGATGTCGTCGATGTCGACCTCTCCATCCATGCGTGGTGACTCCCGATTAGGCACACAAAGACGTTTATTCCCGGCCTTCTCAAGGAACAGGAGGCCATTGATCAACTTAAACTCTTCAAACGTAGGTTTATCCTTCGCCTCGAGTCTGCGTATGATCTCTGACGTGAATGGGTCCTCGCGACAGGCTTCCATCAAGGACTGAGTAACATCGTCCGCAAGCCCAAATTCAATGACCAGCGCACCGAGAAAATCTGGCCTACGTGACAACGCATCAGCAACCTCCCCCTTGATGTACAGGGGTTCGAAGTCATATTGCTCAATGACTTCAATCCAACGCTTCTGAGCGTCGGAGAGTACCGGTTGAGTCTGCATCCATCTCAGGGTTTGATGATCAGTCCTGACATAGAAAAAGCGACCTAGGAGGTAGTGTCTCCAATGGGTGAGCGCCTTGTAGATCGCATAGAGCTCCTTCTCATAGGTGGACTTGGCCAACTTTTGAGAGGGCACATGTATTGTACCGGCCTCAACTTCTTCCCCTCCTGCTCCGCAAGTACGACACCAATGCCATATTGGCTGGCATCCGTAGTCACAACCGAAGGTTTGTCAGGATCGGAAAGTTTCAAGACCTTATGGTGTGTCAACGCATGCTTTAGATGTCTGAAAGCAGCCTCACGCCTGTCTGTCCACTCCCATGGGGTGTCAAGGCGTGTCAGGTCCGTCAAAGGGGCGGCCACTATACTATAATTTTGAACAAAGTTGCGGAAAGTTGCGGTAGTAGCCTGTCATCCCTAAGGACCTCATCTCAGTCACAAACTGAAGACACGGCCAGTCACGAATGTTGGCCACCTTCGCGTCATCGGGCTTCAATCCCTCCTCGGAAATCTCATGACCCAGGTACAAGATCCGGGTGCAACCAAACTCACACTTCTCCCGGTTGATCTTGTACTGGTGCTGTCTGAGGAGACTAAGGACTTTATCTAAGTGCGTTACACTCTCCTCAACAGTCCTGCTAAAGATAAGTATGTCATCGAGATACACGATGATAAACTTGTCCAAGTAGTCATGAAAGATCCGGTTCATCGCGTGTTGAAAGGTGACAGGAGCATTGCAAAGGCCAGAAGGCATCACCACAAACTCCTACAGATCGTACCTGGTCTGAAAGGTGGTTTTGTGTTGATCCTCGGGCCGGATTGCAATCTGATGGTACCAGGACTTCAGATCTATCTTACTGAAGTACCCGCACCCTTGCACTCGGTCCAACAAGTTATCGATGCACGGTAGGGGTTTTGCATTATTCACAGCGATGGCATTGAGGCGCCTATAGTCAATGCACATCCTCAAAGTTACCCCCTTCTTTGGTACGAATAAGACTGGCGATCCGTAAGGGGAGGCACTCAGCCGGATCCAACCCTTGTCTATGAGATCCTTGAGTTGCTGGCGAAGCTCATCGAGCTCACCTGGAGACATCCAATAGATCCTACCCTCCAGAATGCTAGACCCAGGGATAATCTCTACCGCGTGGACGACCTCCCTCTCAACAACCCCTTTCGGCTCTTCAAATAGATCAGGGTACCTAGCGACCACTCACTCTCTTTGGAGGCATTTTCACTGGCTCACCTTTTGCAGAGACGTACACTAAGTACATACCCTCCTTTGGATTTTGCTTGGAATAATTATAGAACGCGGCCTCATACATGCATCCGTAGAACTCGATCAGACTACTAGCCTTGAACTTACGTAATCTGGCGGTCCCTCCTCCGAGCAAAGTGTGTTTGACCACTTTTCGGTCCTAGTCAAACTGGGGTTGTGCAATGGAGAGGTAGTACATACCTAACAAGATATCCATAGGGAGATCATCGCTGACTAGGAACGAGGTTCGATGTCTCAATTCCCCTCCCGCGTACGGGAAAAGACACTCAACGTCTTTGAGGTAGTCGTTGACTACCATGCGCTGTTTTTTGGCACAGGTCGACTCCACAGGAGGACTCCACAGGTCGACTCAAGCGCTGCACTTGCCCCTTTAAGAGCAACCTCTCAACGCACGCGCGACTAATGAAATTACGCATCGAGCAAGTGTCATAATAGGCCCCGGCCTTGCGGCCGTTGATGACTACCTCGCCGACGAACAACTCACCCTTTGGGGCTTTGGCCATGGCTGCCAAGAAGCTAGTGGGTCCAATCTAGACCACTCCTCCTCTAGCTCCTCTGAGGACTCAAACACATTCAGCGAACAGAGGATCGCTGAGTCCGAATGTGTTTGCGGGACGACGATGGAGTCAGTATCTTGGGCCATCTCTCGAGATGGTGAGGGTGTGTCCACCACCTCGACCCTAGCAGGAACAACTACTATGGCCACATTGCTACCTACGGGAGCGGAGGATCCCAATGCCTGCCCCATTGTAGGCGGGATCTTCTTGGTTACCTTCTTATTGCAGCACTTGAATTGGTTGTGGCCATATTGACCACAACGAATACATGCGTGCCATACCGGTCTCTCCACACGTCCTCTGTGAGACCCGCTTTCTCCCATGGAGGAGCGTTAGGGTCGACTTGACTCCTAGACCGGGAGCCTCCACGGCGTCTACCTGTCGCCTTACCTTTTTGGACAGTGGCAGCGACTGTTCCACCCCCTGAAACCTCTACGCTGCCCGCCTCTTAACCCGCTCCCGCCTGGAAGTCGCCTTCTAACTCGATGGTAGACCCATCGTTGTCGATGAACAAGATGCGACCCTTCGCCTTTCAGTTGGGAGGCAGTGTCTTCTTCCTTCCATCCGTCATGGGTGTATGTCCATGCCCTATCTTTGCTTTTAGGTCTAGGGCCTTCTTGCTGAACGAGGGGAAGTTGTGCATGTTGATGTTGGCCTCACCTGCCAACTGATTCCTGAGAGGCAAAGGAAAGCATCTCAGGTATGAGGAGTAAAACCTGGGGGTCGTAGCGCACTCCAGGAACACAGATCAGACGCTCTACTGCGTTCGTGGCCTCCCTTACTGACTTGAATTGCCTGTTGTTCGGAGTCGAGATCGAATCAATGGCCTTTTGAGCCTCCTGAGGATCATGCTACCTGTCTTCCACCAGCTTTGAGGAAGTCATCCAGTTTCTAGTTGATTGCCCAAGTGCGGAAGTCGTGACCGTATCCCTGTAACTGCACTAAACCACTCAACCATCTTGCTGCACTCCCCTATAAATAGGAGGCAGCCACAAACACTTCCTCGTGCGGCAAGGTTAATTTACACTTGACATAGACCGGCACTGACCTCAACCATGTGTCGAGGTCTTCGCCCCTCCTGTCCCCTGAAAAAGGTTTGGGAGAGGCGATGGTCGTCTTCGGAACCCACTGGGTTTGTCCCGAAAGCTGTCCCCACCCCAGGTTGTGGACCTTGGGGACTAGGGTGCTGCACTAGCTGCTGTTGGGGCTGTGTACCCTGCGGCTGTGCAGGCTGCGAGACAGCAGGCTGCCCGGTTACGGCAACCTGTGACGGAGGTAAGGAATACACTGACTATACAGGAACCTGCACACTAGGACCTGCTGAGAACCCTCCTGTTTGCGACATACCTAGGGAAGCGGCGTGGACCGATGCTGGAGAGACATATGGGGATACCCCAATCACCGGTGGGACAAAAGGAGGAGGATGGAGCTCAACCAATACAGCCAGACTCTGCTGGATGTCCTGGAAGAGACTCGTCTGGTGGTCTTGCATTTCTACTATACCTAGCAGGACTGCACACAGGGTCCTCACATCATCATCCATGCGCGTCAAATCCATCCCCTATAACTCACTAACATCCGCTTGTCTCCACTGTAACCTGGCTCTTCTGTGGATCATTCTTTCCTTCTCTGCCTTTATCTCTCCTAGAGCCTTCTGTAGTTGTGCCTCTTGCAGTGCTGCCTGCTGTATGGCGACCTCTTCAGGGGTCAACACTATTGGCTGGCTTGCCATTACGACAATGGATTGACTCAAGGTTTGCGCAACCGTTGACCCTACGGTTCCTTGAACTGCTGACCTGGGAACTCCGCTGCGCAGCAGTTGCCATGGCTGCTGAAGCAGACGCTTCGCTTGCGAACGCCCTGCTGGCCTCTGCTGCCCTAGCTCTCCGCTGCTGCTGCTGCCTCTCCCTAAGCCGGCGGAACAGTAACCTGTCACCCTCTGGTCCTAAGGCCAAGTGGGCTATCGGGCGTCTAGCCGATCGCAAGATCCTGTCGTCCTCGCTAGTGGTATCCCTGTCGCTCATAAGCTACAAAACTATACACAATCTGCACTAGGTCACTCTCCGATGCCTACCGCAGCGTAGTGCATAGACGGATTTAAAATAATTAAATAATTAATCGATGGCTAAATCAGAGTATATACATTTGGGTCCAACAAGTGAATTCAGATTCCTACAAACGAAACTATTTTGACTTTGACTAGTTCGCAAACAGAAAGCACAATGAAGAGGAAACAGTTCTAACTATGTTGTCTGTCAGATGTTAATGGCTGTACATCTAACTAATCAAAATAAAAATAGAATCATTTGATTGGCTGTTTGCAGGATGGAATCTTTCCCAAACTTATCACCTGGAATCTACCCCTCCCTCAATTTTTCCTGAATGTCTCTTGTCGTCAACGTCCCTGAGCACTCCGGAACAGCGTGCGTGTCTAAAGGTGTGCACACGGCCCACCCCTGTGCTCTGAGCTGGCCAGCCCTGCACAATATTTATCCTCACGTGCAGCGAGCCTTACACCGACCAATTGGCTGATCAGGAGGCGTTTTTATGGACGGCCCCCGAAGTCCTCAGGAATTATTTAACGTCGCAAACAGGTTGACGATCACAGCCAATGGAAGGTCCCCGCCGGTACTTATTTATAGACGTCCGCTACTCGTCTTTCCCATAGGGCTGGCCTGCCCCTCAGAACCCCGCTATAGCACAGTGAGCAGACAAAGGACAAAGCAGCAAAGCATGCGCGCTCTACTCCCTGTGGGTTGGCATGGTGACCGTGACCCAGTGCTTCGTCCAGGGCCCTTCAGATAGCACCGCCCTCTCCTTCCAGATGCTCCACGTGAACACTGACGACTCTCAAGGTTGAGCGCACTCGACTCCTCACATGAGAGGACTCTCAAGACAGAGCACACATCCTCACGGTAAGAAGTGTCGAAGAGGGTAGATAAGGTTAGGTGCAACGTACCTCAAAATAGCTGCCCCCAACCACAAATATTCTCACCAGATGACCCGATGCCGATTGTGATGACCAATCGCTGCTTTGGCACAACCAGCATTACACCGCCGTTCCACCTCAGCATCAATCGCAGATCAGATAGTTTTCATCACACTGCGAACACCCAATATGCACCCTGTAGTAGCCTTCCTGGCGATACCCCTCATCTCTTGGGTCGCCCTACTTGCCTTCGCCCTCCTCACTACACACCTCCCACAGCCGCTCACTCAGCAGACCGTGTGCATGTACCGCTTAGGCAGAAGACAACCGCCAGATGAGCGCACCGTACCACAGCTCCGATACCAAATCGCAAGGAAAATGAGCAATAGCGAACAGCATCATGCACATGAGACCAGATAGTCGTGACCTCGAACCAATAGCAGAATTGCATCACAAGTTCCACCAAATAAGAGCACAGCAAAAACTCATAATTGACAATGCTGGAATAGTCTCATCATCATCAACAAAGAAGCAATGTCGATATACTATCTGGCGCATGGCGCCCAGACTACAGATGGCAGATCCTATCTAGCCTATCTACAATGCCGCTGATGACGCCAACAGCTCCCCGCAGTACGAGCAGATCTCGGCCAATGCCGTTCGCCTCAAGCACCAGGTATGTCTCTCGTATCACTCACAACCTCGATCCCCAACTCACAGATGCCACATCCACCCAAAGACCACCATGCGCCCCATCCAGCATACGGCAGCGCAGCTTGGCTATGGGCCTCCTCCTTCCAGCTCGCCCGTGAGCGCTTGAGCGCTGGCCAGCGTTAGCGCAGCGTGCAGCCAGTGCCCAAATGCCGAATGCGTGGGCAGGCCCTTTCCTAAATGGAAGTGGCCTGCCTGCCTTGCGTGCAGCTTGGCTGCGCTGGGCCCCTGCCCAGAAGCTTCCGGCAGGCCCGGAGAGCCTGAGCCCCAGACCAAACAAATCAGGCCCTGGGCCTGTGGTGGTTGCCCGTGTTCAACTGCCTGCGGCCTGTGTTCGGTCCATCTTGCGAATCTGGCCCAGGGCCTGCCTCGGTTACATTAAAAAAGAGGCACCCTGGGCCTGGGCGCTCTCAACCAACTGGCGCTGCGCAACTGCCTGAATTTACCCAGTTGCGTGGTGACCCCAAAACAGGCCTGTAGGCCCTGGGTCGAGCCTGCCTTCACTTAGGGCGGCGGACCATACAGAAAATAGGGCCCAGCAGGGCAGATCGAGGCCTTGAACCTCGCATTAGGAATTCTGACATGACTCTAAGGCAAAAGTGGTTTGCATTGTTATATGCATAACATACTTTTTTTTTCAGAATTTTTTTTTTTTTTTTTTTTAATGGTCTGGACACTGCCGGACCTGTTTACCCGGTCCGGAACGTCCGGAACCATGCATTCCCGGAGGTCCGGATGTGTCCGGAAGTCCAGATGGCCGGACCCGACTGGACATGGGTCTGGTCCTAGGACATGAGCTGTCTGGGTCCGGGTCTGGCGTAGCCATGATATACTCCAGCCTGCTCCACGAAATCACATACCAGGCACAGACCCAAACATTCGGGCATACATGATGAAGGACAAAGGCAACATCCTTGACAATTACATTGCATGGACCACAAAAAATAAATGCACCGTGACATGGGAATGCAACCTGCCTTCCTTCAAGGTGGTTGAGTCTGTCAAACAGTGCTTATGATCTTCCATTCAGCCATCCCTTCACCAGTAATCCAGTCAGTGCACGAGATGGTTGCATCATCCCTTTGTGTACTGCTGTCGCTTTGATTCCCATGGGTGCCAGTCCATTTCTTGGTCACATTGTCACATGCATCGTGATCTGGACTGCATGCCAACACAATTACAGAACGCTGGGAGATTTGACGTCTGCACCAGAAGAAAGTAACATGTGTGCTTCTTTTCTCTGATGTGCAGATGATTGCATGCTGTCGGTGAAACCTGTTGACACTGAAACTGGAGTGGCTGCTCGCATACAAGTCAGTTCAGAGTCTGGCAACACATCTAGAATTGATTGGTCGGCCAGCATTGTAGGAAACGAGGCAATTGTTGTGACCGGTCTTGTAGAATGGATACAACAGAAAATTAAGTCAACAATAGATGATATCTGGGGAAGACAGGTCACCTCATCTCTCAGCTCTGTATTTTGTCCGGTTTTGCCCATGCAAATGACCGAGGGGAAGGTGGCCGGCAGACCTGGCGAAGATGTTGATTTACGCAAAAATGTTGATAGTAACAAGGCTGCACAGGAGGTGGAGGAGAATGACAAGGTGGAAGGACATGAACCGCAGAGTCAAGAACACCTTGTGGACAGGCCAAAGGGGTTCTGTTTCTTACTTAATGCTTCAACTCGTGAAGTGCCAGTACGTGTGTTCGAGAATGTTGATGGTGATGAAGAATCTGGTATGCAAGTAAAAAGCACTTGGCATGTGAAGGAAACGTCAGTGGGTATTGCAAGTCCTTTCCTGTTCAGCTCATCATCAAAGTGGATGAAACAACGTCAGTTGCTGATCCTTCCAACAATGAGAATATGCAATCTTCTCACGAAAGCCATCACTGTAACAGTTGTAGGACCTACAACAAGTGAACTCAGAAGTTCTACCACTGGGGAGAAAGGTCAAGGTGAGTGACAGTTGAAATGTATGCAATCATTGCAATGTCTAAATTTATGTTGTTTTTTGGTGAAATTATTCTTGCCTTCTCTCTCTCTCTCTCTCTCTCTCTCTCTCTCTCTCTCTCTCTCTCTCTCTCTCTCTCTCTCTCTCTCTCTCTCTCTCTCTCGCTTGTGTGCGTGTGCGCGCGCGCACACACACACACACACACACACGAGTCTTCGACACCTGTGCAATCTGCAGAGTTGAACGAATCTCCCCCAGCTGTGAACGAATCTCCCGCGCAACCTGTGGAATCGGACGATGTCATAGCGCTACAGCAAGGCCGCAATTGTAACCCTTGTACTGTTTCTGATTTCGCAGACGTTGTCCGCTGGATAGAAGAAGAGCACCATGCCGTCTGCCCAGAGGACGACAGTGCTGTAGATGGTGTGAACATAGAAGTCCTGTCTATGGCATTTTTGGGTAGGTGACTACAATTCCAGGCTGCTCCACAAAACCACGTGCCAGGCATGGATCCGAATGTTCGGGCATATATCTTACATCGTCCAGTTTAGTGCTCTTACCTTTGCGGATAATTCATTGACCCTATGGGACAATGGCAGTAGGGTGCACACAGCGGGAAACACCAAGTGGTGGAGGATCACTCAGTCTGGCTCGTCCATGAGGAACAGTATTTCGATGAGCACTTGCAAGCACTGCACGCCCCGGAGAGCAATCTGGCTGATTGTACCACAAACAGTGAAGGGACCTCTCCAAAGGATGGTGGCTGTGTCATCCCTTTGTGTCGTCGCACAGGTACAGTTTGGTTGGCATGTACATGGCATAGCGTCTGCTCGGAACAAGGGATGGTCGCTGCTAGCCTCTCCTGTGATCCCCTGTCGTGTGCTTGTTCCTCCTACCCCCTGATTACCTGCCCAGCATGCCATTGTGGCCTTGATCTGCCATGCTTAAATAACTGTGCACGTCAGCCATACATACTGATGACATGTCAGCAACATCCCATATGTCGTCAGTGTTTCCAGGAAGCTGTCATAGAAAGTATGCGTCTTTACTGCGTGGACTATCCCCAGTGCCATCATCCTCCACATCCTCTCCTAGCATGTCCCACATGCGGTGTTGGTCATACACCTACGGCAACCGCTGACGGATCTCCATCTTCCTTGCCAGACGAACGACAGACACAGCAGCCTGAGGAGGAAAATAGTATGAACCATCTGCAGAGCGATGTGCTGATAGTTTATCACCACCAGGACAAGCTGTTGCAGACCAAATCCTGCAGCAGCTGAACACCCTTGCTTTAGACCGATCCTCCCTGTCGTCATCTGCCCGTAGAGAAGGAATAAATACTGAGGAAACCCAAGAAAGATGCTCCATGCTGCTTTGTGATGACCCGCCAGAGATTCAATTAGCATGTGGTTCGCATGCCTTGTGCCGTGAGGTTTATGAAGGGATGGTCCATGCAAGGTTTTGCTCTCATG